ACCCCCCCACCCCCCACCCGGGCCGTGCCTCAGTTTCCCCGGGACCGTGCCTCAGTTTCCCCCAGGCCAGGTGCTGAGCCCGGAGCTCCTGGCGGGGCTGGCGCGCCTGGCGGCGGCGGAGGGGCTGCTGCTGCTGGGCCACGAGGTGAGGGAATGAATGTTCGGGAAAGTTCGGGAATGGTCGGGAAAGTTCGGGAATGGTCGGGAGTTCCTTCGGGAAAGTTCGGGAATGTTCGGGACTGGTCGGGACTGGTCGGGAATGGTCGGGAATTCCTTCGGGAATGGACGGGAGTTCCTTCGGGAAAGTTCGGGAATGTTCGGGACTGTTCGGGAATTGTCGGGAATGTTCGGGAATGTTCGGGAATGGTCGGGAATTCCTTCGGGAATGGACGGGAGTTCCTTCGGGAAAGTTCGGGAAAGTTCGGGAATGTTCGGGAATTCCACCGGCAATGGGCGGGAATTGCACCGGGAATGGGCGGGAATTCCACCGGGAATGGGCGGGAATGGGCGGGGATGGGACCGATTTTTTGGGAACACCTGGAGGATTTTTTTGGAAGTGTTTGGAGGATTTTTTTTGGGGGGAATTCCTGGTGGATTTTTTGGGAAATGTCTGGAGGATTTTTTGGGAATGTGTGGAGGACTTTTTTTGGGAATGCCTGGAGGATTTTTTTGGAATTCCCGGAGGATTTTTTGGGAATTCCCGGACGATTTTTTGGGAATTCCCAGAGGATTTTTTGGGAACACCTGGAGGAATTTTTGGGAATTCCCAGAGGATTTTTTGGGAACTCCCGGAGGATTTTTTGGGTATTCCCAGAGGATTTTTTGGGAACACCTGGAGGAATTTTTGGGAATTCACAGAGGATTTTTTGGGAATTCCTGGAGGATTTTTTGGGAATTCCCAGAGGATTTTTTGGGAACTCCTGGAGGATTTTTTTGGAATTCCCGGAGGATTTTTTTTGGGAATTCCCAGAGGAATTTTTGGGAATTCCTGGAGGAATATTTGGGAATTCCCAGATGATTTTTTGGGAATGTTTGGAGGATTTTTTTGGGAATTCCCGGAGGATTTTTTGGGGAATTCCCGGAGGAATTTTTGGGAATTCCCAGAGGAATTTTGGGAATGGTTTCCAGGTGCAGCAGGACCGAGCCTTCGACCCTGAGCATCCGTTCCTGTCCCTGCAGCGAGTCCTGGCCCAGCTGGGGCCGCCCCTGGCCACGAGCGTCCAACTGATCTCCTTCCACTCCCTGCGGTGCGGGAACCGCCGGAATAACAGCCGGAAAAACAGCGGGAATAATGGGAAAAACAATGGGAATATTCAATGGGAATGATGGGAATTCAATGGGAATAACAGCTGGAAAAACAACGGGAATATTCAGTGGGAATATTCAATGGGAAAAACAACGGGAATATTCAATGGGAATATTCAATGGAAATAACAGCGGGAATAACGGGAATAACAACAATGGGAATATTCAATGGGAATAACAACGGGAATATTCAGTGGGAATAACGGGAAAAACAACGGGAATAACAGCTGGAATAATGGGAAAAATAATGGGGAAAATAATGGGGCAAACAACGGGAATATTCAATGGGAATAACGGGAAAAACAACGGGAATAACAGGAAAAATAATGGGGAAAACAACGGGAAAAACAACGGGAATATTCAATGGGAATAGTGGGAAAAACAACAGGAATATTCAATGGGAATAATGGGAATTCAACGGGAATAACAATGGGAATAACAATGGAAAAAACAATGGGAATGATGGGAATTCAATGGGAATAACAATGGGAATAAACAACGGGAAAAACAATGGGAATGATGGGAATGACAACGGGAATAACAATGGGAATAATGGGAATTCAATGGGAATAACAACGGGAATAACAATGGGAATAACAATGGGAAAAACAACGGGAATGACGGGAATTCAATGGGAATAACAATGGGAAAAACAACGGGAATGACAGGAATGACAACAGGAATGACAATGGGAATAACGGGAATATTCAATGGGAAAAACAAAAGGAAAACAATGGGAATGATGGGAAAAACAATGGGAATAAGAACGGGAATAAGAACGGGAACAACGGGAATGACAACGGGAATAACAACGGGAATAACGGGAATATTCAATGGGAATGATGGGAATATTCAACGGGAATTCAACGGGAATAACAACGGGAATAAGAACGGGAATAACAACGGGAAAAATGGGAAAAAACAACGGGAATAACAACGGGAAAACCAATGGGAATAACGGGAATGACGGGAATATTCAACGGGAATAACGGGAATATTCAACAGGGGTTTGGGGGATTTGGGGAACTTTGGGAATGGGATGGAAGGGAGTGAGGGGACGGTGGTGGTGCCCCAGGAGAGGATTCCAGGTGGGAATCCTGGAGCTGGAATTCTGGGAATTTGGGGAATTTAAGGGAAATTTCAGGATTTTCAGGAATTTTGGGAATGCCAGGGATTTGGGGAATTCTGGGAATTTGGGGGATATTGAGAATTCTGTGAATTTTGGGGAATTCGGGGAAAATTTTGGGAATTCGGGGAATTCGGGGATTTTGAGAATTCTGGCAATTTGGGGATTTTGGGGGATTTTGAGAATTTCAGGATTTTCAGGGATTTTGGGAATGCCAGGGATTTCGGGAATTCTGGGATTTTGGGGGATTTTGGGAATTTTGGGAATGGCATGGAAGGGGGTGAGGGGACGGTGGCAGTTCCCCAGGAGCAGATTCCAGGTGGGAATTTTGGAGCTGGAATTTTGGGAATTTTGGGAATGGCATGGAAGGGGGTGAGGGAACAGCAGTTGTTCCCCAGGAGCAGATTCCAGGTGGGAATCCTGGAGCTGGAATTTTGAGAAAAAAACGGGAAGGCCTCAAATTCCGGGAATGAATTTTGGGAATGAATGAATGAATTTCGGGAATGAATTTTGGGAATCCTGGCGCCGCAGGAACGGATTCCGGGCGGGATTCCTGGAGCTGGTGAACGTGGAGCCGCGGCTCCGGCGGCCGTTCCAGCTGGCTCAATCCATCCCCCGGCCCTGCGTTCCCGGCCGGATCCTGCTGGATCTGCTCCTGGAGCCGCCGGATCAGTGGGATCCCATCCGCAGGGAGCTGGAAAAGGTGCTGGGAGAGAGGCCTGGGTTTGTGATTCCGTGGGTCCTGGAAATCCCATAAATCCTGGAAATCCTATAAATTCCGTAAATCCCGGAGATCCCATAAATCCCAAAAATCCCAGAAATCCCATCCCGTAAATCCCAAAAATCCGGTAAATCTCAAAAATCCCATAAATCCCGGAAATCACATAAATCCCCTAAATCCCATCCCATTCCCTAAATCCCATAAATCCCATAAATCCCATCCCATAAATCCCAAAAATCCCGTAAATCCTGTAGATCCCGTAAATCCCATAAATCCTGTAAATCCCATAAATCCCATAAATCCCATCCCATAAATCCCAAAAATCCTGTAAATCCTGTAGATCCCGTAAATCCCATAAATCCTGTAAATCCCAAAAATCCCATAAATCCCATAAATCCTGTAAATCCCCAAAATCCTGTAAATCCCATAAATCCAATAAATCCCATCCCATGGATCCCATCCCGTTCCTATTAACCCTTCCCCTAAATCCCCAAAATCCCACCCCATCCCATTATCCCATTATCCCATAAATCCCATAAATCCCATAAATCCCATCCCATAAATCCCAACCAGTTGGATCTCATCCCATCCTATAAATCCCCAAAATCCCATCCCATCCCATTATCCCTTCCCATAAATCCCATAAATCCCATAAATCCCACAAATCCCAGCCCGTTAGATCCCATCCCATCCTATAAATCCCATAAATCCCATCGTGTTCCCATTATCCCATCCCATAAATCCTAGAAATCCCATCCCATTCCCATTATCCCTTCCCATAAATCCTAGAAATCCCATCCCGTTCCCATTATCCCTTCCCATAAATCCCAAAAAATCCCATAAATCCCATCCCATGGATCCCATCCCACCCCACAAATCCCATCAATCCCATTATCCCTTCCCATAAATCCCAAAAATCCCATTAGTCCCAACGCATTGGATCTCATCTGATGCCATAAATCCCACAAATCCCATAAATCCCATTATTCCATTAATCCTGTTATCCTGTTAATCCCAATTATCCCGTTTATCCCGTTAATCCTGTCATCCTGTTAATCCCGTTAATCCCAGTTTCCCATAAATCCCGTTAATCCCGTTATCCCGGTTTTCCAGCACCGCCAGGATCTGCTCCGGGACCTGGCCTCCAACGCCCGGCGGGTGCGGCGGGAGCTGGATCCCGTTAATCCCGTTAATCCCATTATCCCGTTAATCCCGTTATCCTGTTAATCCCGTTATCCCGTTAATCCCATTATCCCGTTAATCCTGTTAATCCCGTTAATCCCGTTATCCCAGTTTTCCAGCACCGCCAGGATCTGCTCCAGGACCTGGCCTCCAACGCCCGGTGGCTGCGGCAGGAGCTGGATCCCGTTATCCTGTTAATCCCGTTATCCCGTTATCCCGTTAATCCCATTATCCCATTAATCCCATTGTCCCGTTAATCCTGTTATCCCGTTAATCCCGTTATCCCGTTAATCCCGTTATCCTGTTAATCCCATTATCCCGTTAATCCTGTTATCCCGTTAATCCTGTTATCCCGTTAATCCCGTTATCCCGTTAATCCCGTTATCCTGTTAATCCCATTATCCCGTTAATCCCGTTAATCCCGTTATCCCATTATCCCGGTTTTCCAGCACCGCCGGGATCTGCTGCAGGACCTGGCCTCCAATGCCCGGCGGGTGCAGCGGGAGCTGGATCCCGTTATCC